TTTTCTCGGGATCCAGCTGGATGGATAATTGGATCAGGGGTTGGATGACGAGATGTCGAATGGGGGTTCGCTGGGGTGGTCTCCTGATTAGATGGGGGATTCTGATAATCGACGGGTAGGAAATTGCGGAGGGGAATGAGTAGTCCGCGATGGAGGAGGGTATGAGTGAGTCGAGTGGATGTTGTTTCGACCGTGTCATATGTGGACTGCAGCAGGTCTTGGATTTGGGCAGCAAGATCGCATAGCTTGGCAAGATTTTGTAGATCATCCTCCAGCTCTACAATCTCTCTGGCGACTCCTGCTCCTAAAGGATCCCTGCGCAGTTGTCTTTGAAGCGATGGTTCGTGATAGTGCTCGGTCAAGGTCTGATGGACGACCCTGACAAAATGGGGGTATTGGTCATAGGGGCAGGTGCGAGGAGGGCGTTGGGAAGAGGTGAAGGTGCACAAGTTGTTCCTGGGGTGAGACATGGTATGAGTTGCTGGTGAGTCTGCTAGAGATGGTTTCGGCTTTTATATTCTTGAAGTAGGCTCTTGGCGTTCTCAAGCACATGCTCGGGTTCCCATGAATTTTCGGCCGACGGGTACCCTTTCCATTTGACAAGGTACTTGCGGCGCGAAGTGCTCCCACGATGGGCTAAGATGGCCTCAACTTCGTACTCTTCTTCGCCTTCAATATCATCAGGTGGAGGTCGGAGATAGTTCGGCCCGTGAGTGGAGTTCTCTCGATAACGTGAAAGGAGCGAGGGATGAAACACGGGGTGAATCTTCCAGGATTTGGGTAAGTCTAGACGGTATGAGAGTGGGCCTAGAACTTCCTTGATCTTGAATGGTCCTTCACGTTTTGGGGCGATCTTCCTGGATGGGTAATTGATCTGTAGGTTCTTGCCTTCTAGCCAAACCTTCTCTCCAACTTCGAATGGGGTGAATCCTTGTTGGCTTCTATCGATCATCTTCTGTCGCGCCAATTCGTGCATGGCGATCGCTTCTTCCCTTGCAGCTTGTAATCGTTTAAGCTTTTCGTCTACTGATGGTAGCTCCATATTGATTGTGACTGCGGGTATTGCTCGTGGATGATAACCCATCATGAGGTAGAAAGGTGATTCATTCCTGGCTGAATGGGATCGCTGATTGTGAGCAAATTCCGCATCACAGAGTCCTTCAGCCCATCCGTTGGGATTGTTGGCGCAGAATATCCGCAGATAGGTTTCCAGTTCTTGGTTGACCCTCTCAGTTTCGCCATTGGTTTGAGGGTGATAAGCAGTGCTGAGCTTGGATTTGATGCCTAGCAGCTTGCACGTTTCTTGGAATACCTTTGACGCAAATTGAGGTCCTCTATCAGATATGATGGTATCGGGTAATCCAAATCGTCTGTAGACATTCTCATGAAAAATTTGAGCAGTCTTCTCTGCATCGATCGTCTTGTGACATGGCACCAAAATTACCCCCTTCGTTAGGGCGTGGTC